AAAACATTCTGTAGCATCAGAACTAAAATGCTTAGGAAAGCATAAGGGAATCTCTTTAATATCAAAACTTATATTAAAAACTACATAGCTAACATCATACTGTTAAAAACTGAAGTCTTCTGAAGATGGCGAGACAAGGATAACTCTCACCATTTCCATTTAGCATCAAATGAAGTTCCTAGCTATTATAACCAAGCCATAAATAAAAGGAATAAAGATGGGAAGGAAAGAAGAAAAATATCTTTCAATGACAGCATATGTAGAAATTAATAAGGATTCTACAAGAAGAGCTACAGGACAAATCAATAAGGTTTTACAGACTTTAGGACTGAAGATTAATGTAGAAACTAAGTTTATATCCATACCAGCAATGAAAAGTATTCCATTATACATAGAAAATTATGAAACAATAGTAAATTTTTAAAAATTCATAAAATCGTATAGAGAATATTGTAACCTATTATACAGAAGATGAGAAAAAATTGAGAATTTTAAATAGACATATTAATGGATTAAAAGACTCAATACAAAGATATTAAAATTGATCTGTAGATACTCATTGCTTTTTTTCCCCCTCACACTGCCTTTGAATGTTGTCTAGTACTGTTCCTTCTCCCTGGCCTTTCCAATTGCTGCGATTATATGTATAGACTACCCCTTTCTTCCTCTAGTCCTCCTCCTCCTCCTCCTCCTCCTCCTCCTCCTCCTCCTCCTCCTCCTCCTCCTCCTCGACACAATGTCTCGTGTCTCACAGCCCCACTGTGAACTCTTGGGCACAAGCCATCCTCTTGCCCAGTCTCCTGAGTGAGTAGCTGTGACTAGCAGGAATATGCTATCACACCTGGCTGGCCTGCAGATTTGATGCAAATACAACAGCCCAATTATTGAATAAATATACAAGCTAACTTTAAAATCTCTATAGAAATATAATGGCCTGAAAGGAAAACCCAAAGTTTTAAATATAAACTTGTAGTTCTAAAGTAAGTAATCAATATAGATTGCAAATCAATATTTTTGTTGGACATTCTAGGTCTCATTCATTTCCAAATTTAAAGATGGGCATCCATTAAGGATTTAAAGCAACTAGGATTCACACAACGTTTCTGGTAGAAAGAAAAAGTTGCAACAGTCTGGATATTTAAAATAAGAATTACTTTATTTTTAGATGTGTGTGTGTGTGTGTGTGTGTGTGTGTGTGTGTGTGGTTGTGATATGAGTGTAGGTACCTTCAGGGGCACGGAAGCATCAGACCTAGAGCTGGAGTTACAGGCAGGTGTGAGTCACCTGATATTGCTGTTGGGAACTGAACTCAGGTTCTCTGGAAGAGCAGCAGGTGCCAACCCATCTCTCCAACATGGATATCTCTTATATAGTACACTGATCCTGTGACTTAGAAATTCTCTTCTTGGTTATCAACTCAAAGGAAATAAAAATGTTTTCTAGTTGAGAACTATACTTTGATGCTCATTGTAGACTTATATATAATGCCAAAAGCTGAAAACAATCAAGCTATGCTGGTGTGGGACAATGGTCTGCATTCTGTCAATTATATTATAAACAAACACTGATTGGTTAGTAGCCAGGCAGGAAGTATAGGTGGGGCAACCAGACAGGAAGTAGAGGTGGGTCAATGAAAACAGGAGAATTCTGGGAAGAAGGAAGTCTTAGTCTGCAGTCCTGATCCAGACCAGAGCAAGCAAGATGTGACTGCCTCACCGAAAAAGGTACCAAGCCACATGGCTAACATAGACAAGAATAATGGGCTAATATAAGTTATAAGAGTTAGTTAATAAGAAGCCTGAGCTAATGGGTCAATCAGTTTATAACTAATGTAGAACTCTGTGTGATTTCTTTGGGACTTAAGGATTGAAGGAACAGGGCAGGACAGAAACCCCTATAACACTATTCACCTGCATATAAGGAGGAAAAGGAAGTTTGAAATAAAATGTACTATTCACTGATAACCTGAGCCAATACACAACAGCAGAGTTGACACATGTAGCATGGCAGAGTCTCAAGAATATTGTATTCAATGGTGGACTCCTTCCTCTCAAGATTCATTGATTTTTATTTATGTGTATGTCTATATGCCTGCCTGAGTTTATGTACGGGTGCCTGTAGAGGCTGGCAGAGGGCATCAGATCCCTGGAATTTGAGCTACAAGTGGTTGAGCTAGTTGAAGTGGGTGCTAGGAACCAAACTTCTTCAGGAGTAGCAATTGCCTTTGCTGTCAATCTATGCCTCCAGCCTCTCATCCTTTATTTCTTTCCTAATCTTGAACTAACATAACACTCCTGGCATACCCTCCCAAGGTCCTATACGGATTCATTATTGCTTTATAATAGCAGCTGCTTTTGTCTTTGAGCCAGTGTTTGACTATGCAGCACAGGTTGGCTTTGAACTCACAATGCTGCCTTGACCTTATCAGTGCATGTAGGCATGCACCATCATGCTTGGCTTATACTTGCTACTGTTTATGCCATTATTGACAACCATATACAAAGTACGTTTCTGCCTCTTAAGGTTAGAAGCTCAGTGAAGTCAGGATTATTTATTTATTTTCTCACAGTTCTGTCTGTAGGGCCCCTGATAGAGGAAATTCTCAAGTACTTGCTGATAAACAAAATAAATAAAAATTAATAATATGAAAATTCTAAATGTAATCTTATCCCATTGAATCTACCAATATGTTAAATAAAATATTTAAGTTCATCTTATTTTAGGAATTAATTCCTACATTATCTTCCAATAGAATGATATGAACTGAAATAATATTTAACTCCAGTTCATCCAAAATTTAACAAATGAAACCATGAAAATATAAACGAAAATATACAAATGTACTTGTTTTTATATGTATGCATAATCAATCTCAGAATTAGAAAAGTTTTTCTATTCTGGGTTGGTGCTAACCGCAAAAGTTATAAAAGAAAAGACTAATATATTGGGCTACATTAAAAAAATTAAACTTACATTATGACCAAAGTTAATAGATGGTAAATACTAAGGACATTTAAAATACAGTAAGAGATCACTTTAAGATGGTTTGAAGTCAGTAATATGCACAGGTTGAGATAGGGATAAAAGTTATGAAATATAATTTATGCAAAGAGTACAAATGGCAAGTATCTCAAGCCAACAGTAATTAGAAACATAAATGTTAAAATATTCTATCAGGGTTAAAACATTTAAAGTGTTTTTAAATCACATTTATTTATTATTATTAACTATTCTGTCATTTCTTGTGTGGGTATATGTACCAAGTGCAGCCTAAATTGGGGTTCTTTCTTTCCATCAGGAGGACTCTGGGGACTGAACTGGGTCTGTCAGGCTAGTGGCAGGCTACTCAGCCATTGATCCAGTCTCTGCTTTCCTAGAGGTCAATGTTTATAAAAAAAATAAAACCCTAGCATGCACATTTCTTCTGCAAATCTACCCCAAGTAAACAATAACATTGCAGAAGTGGTAAAACTTAAAGTTGTTTTTTTTTATAGTAGTGAGAAATGGAAACCACCGGTAGGCATTGGAGATTTTGACACACTCACATAATGGACTTCAAACTCATACTTCATACTTACATCTCCTAATGTGTATGTACTTAAGAAAAAACCCTATGCATGTATGCAAAGACATAGCAGAAGCAGCTTTCCAAGAACAGGGTCTAAAATATTGTCTCTAAGAGAAATTAGTATTTTCCACAGTTATATATTTTCCTCTGTTGAATCTCTGGTGGAAAATAAAATTCCTTACAAAAGGAGTTCAAATATGTCCCTCAAAAGAATGGACTCCTAGGCAAGCATTGCTGTTGTTTTAAGGATACTGGACACTGTGAGACCTTGAGGTTTTGTCAGATAAGATGGATAAGATCTTAGAGCAATGTCTCTTGAAGGGGATTCCACAAACCATCCTCATCAGGGTTGGTTCTCTGTAGGTGTGTCCGTTTGTTTGATCCTAACTTACCCATCGTTAAATTAAAAACAAAAAAACAAAAACACTGGTTCTGGAACTAGAACTGAACTAGTAACCTTCAGAGGAAATTTTTTTCTCGTATGGGTGGGTATTTGGGAAATGCTGTGATCTTCTCTATAGAAGCAGGGGGGAAAAGATTGACCAGCTTTTACAGTAGCCTGCTACTGTGTTTTAGCAAGTTTCCTGCATCATCTACTGTGTGTGCACATACACTTAACTAGCTTTACTTGTCAACTCTAGCCTTTCATCTGTTTTTGATGTCAATATTCCTTGGTGATAAATATTTTCTTGTAATATACACATGCTTTTTATGTTAATAGACTCCATGTCTATGGATTAATCAACCTGGACCAGAAGGCACTCAGAGGAAAACTGTGTGTGTATTGAACATGCATCATCGTTCCCTAAAGAATGCCACACAGTCACACTCTCAAGATGATTTAAAGTGCATACAATGGCAAGTACAGGTTATATGCAAATACTGAGCCACTCTATGTAAGGGATGATCATCTGTGGATCTGGTATCTTTGAATGGTCTTGGAATGAATCTCCCATGGGTACAGAGGGATGACTGCACTTGACATAAAGGATTAGGATCTTATTGCTTAGCATAGCAGTCACTTTTTTAGGGTTCTTCAGCTAGAGTGGTTTTAAGGAGCAATGTGTCATTTATTTAAAGATTTCTTTTTTTCACACCCAAGGGTCTGTGAGGTATTTAGAACCGCAGTCTTTTCAGAGTGGATTATTTAAACAAGTCCTTGTGTAGAGCACAACAGAGAAAACGGCAATGTAGTCATTATCCCTCCCGGAACCAATTACCTGGCACCTTTAATGTCTGAAACTTCAGACTGTCATGCAAAACAGCATCGGTTACATTACTCTCTCATAGATCCATGAGGGAAACTGAAGCCAATTGCCATAGTAACTGGCTCCAAAGCATTTTTTCTTATTCTTAAAGAAGTAGTGATTTTTTCCCCTGCAGTTTCCATTCGATCTGAAACCACACCCCCACACCTCCACCTTGGACTTACCGGCATGGTGATCTGAATAGGTTGCCGCTCTCCACTTTTGGTAGGAGCTACGCCTTCTGTATCATATATGCCCGTGTAGACAACTCTGTCACCCTCAGGCTCTTTACACTTCAGCTCCAGTGGGACAAGCACGCCACCAATGGAAATGTTCCTGCAATGGACTTGAGTTAAGCATAGACGGTCGGAATTAACTTAGGTATCCTGTTCTAGTCTGAACCAAAATCGTAGAGAGGAAACCCATAGGGTTTGGCTAAGGAAGACATGGTAGCAACCTCTGAAAGCTCAGGAGGTTAGAATTCTCCAACTAAGCAGTATTATGATCACAGATCAACTACTTCCGCTCTCTGGACTGACTTAAGGGAAAATGATGCTTATACATGAGGGCAAATGTCAGGGCAGGGGAGGAAGGAGAAGCCTGGCTACAAGTGAAGAGACAACCGGGCAATGTGAGGACAACTGTGTGGGGACCTGTGAGGTGGAGATTTGGGGGATGCTGATGGACTAAATGCATCGGGCACACCAGAAACCACCCAAGTGTGGCTACAGATCTGTGTGTCATGAAGCCTAAATAAAATAGGTTTACTGAGTTCAAACTAACTACAAGTAAGTGATAGATTCACAAGCCCCTCCTCCCTCAGCATATGTGAGTTTTGTTTTGTTCTTGCTCACAAACTAGACCTCACACAGTGTTTAGGTGAAAGGTACAGGACCCTGTGATGGCTAGTCTCAGTTGTCGCCTTGACAACACCTGGGAAGAGTCTCAATGAGGGAGTGTCTTGATGGCTTGGCCACGGGTTATGTCTGTGCGGGATTTTCTTATTTAATTTAATTCTGGTGGGAAGAGCCACCCTAGAAGTGGTGGGGACCATCTCATGGGCTGGGCTCTGGACTAAAAAAAAAAAAGAGGAAGCTGCTGGGCACGGGCATGTATGTATCAGTCCACTGCTCCCTGTTCTTGACTCTGCATGTCATTATGACTAGCTTCTTCAAGTTCCAGCTGCCTTGACTTTTCCACATGATGGACTGCAACCTCGAATTTTTAGCCACACAAAACCTTTCTTCCTGAAGTTGATTTTGCCAGGGAATTTTAGCCCTGCAACAGGAAAGGAATCTAAGACCCACGTGTGAATTATTCCCCATACGTCATTCTCCTGTTTTACACCCGTCTTGTGAAGACGTTTTTTAGACCACAGGTAACAGCACCGGGCTGACCCCAAAATTCAGCCAGGAAGCAAAGAAAAAGTAGAGCGCATGTAAAACCATAAAGGTAGGCCCTAGCACTGGCGGTACCCTTGAATTTGTACCACTAACTCTGAAGAGGAGTAGTGGGGAGCGTCCCTCAGGGAACCCAGTGACCATCTGTCCACTGTGGTTCTCATTCCTCAGCCCTCCCCACCGCTTCAGTCTCCTCAGCAAAAGCAGAGGAAGAGCCTAGGATCCAGGAGAGAAGGGATGGGATTGCAGTTGCTGAACCCCTCCATATCTTTCATCTGCCCCACCCTGTCTACCTGTGGTTCCCCGTTGTAGCTGGATGGAAGAGAAATTTACAAGAAAACGAAACAAAGCAACCCCCAAAGTAAAACAAAAGCCCCAAATCCTGGCTTCTTCTCGCAGATTTAAAGGCACTCGCAGAGAAGGGTGGAAGGAAGCTGGGGTGCAGGACTACAAGCTCAGGGCGGGAGAGTAGCTTGGGGACAGGGCTTTGACACCCCAGATCCCGCTGAGCACGGAAGAGACTAAGGGGGACCAAGGGGAGGCTAGGGATGTCCTGGGGCCTCTGTGCTCCTCCCATACCCGGGGTATTATAGCCCTGCCGCCCGGCGCGCCCCACACTCACTCGACCTGCAGTGTTGTGGGCTTAATCTTCACCTCCACCTTGTAGGAGGAGCCGGTGAGCAGCTTGATTGTGCGGTTCTGGCCGAAGCGCTGGCCGTCTACCTTGAAGAAAACAGGGCCGTCATTGGGCTGGATGCGCAGCGCGATGGAAAGGCGCACGAGCCCGGGTAGGTCTCCCATAGCTGGCAGAGGGGCTGGCAGTCGTGGCCGTGGTGATGGATAGTGCGGGCTGGAGGGAGCTGTTGTCGTGCGATGGGCGGAGGGGACACGCAGGGAGGAAGAAGGAGCTGACGGATGCAGGCCACAGCTAGGAGCGGTCGCCTCCGTCCACCCCAGATTTTGAGCAGCTGTTGGTGAGGCTGTGGCCCTCCACCGCACTCAGCCACAGAGCCAGCCCCAGAAACAGCAGGGAGGCAGCTGGCTGCCCCATCCCCCCGCTCCACGCGCTGGGCCCTGCACGCACGCGAGGGCTCGCGGGGACTGGACTGGCAGGCTGCCCCGCAAATCAGCACAGCTGGGGGCTAGAGAGTTAATCCTGTTTACGCACCACAATCCCCTTCAGCAGGGCGGACGGACGTTTAGGCTCCTCCTAGAACAGCACCGGATGCTAGGAGGATGGGGCGGGCAGGCACCGGGAGAAGATTAACTGTTACAGCAAGGAGTGGAGACCCCAGAGTCTAGGCACCAAGGGTGTGGATTCCCTTTCTAGAGAGTCTGAGCTGCGGTTTGGTGAGAAGACGCTGAGCGGGGAAATGGAGGCAAGTGTCGGGAAACGGAGTCGAAAACTGCTAGCTAGTGATTTAAATGTCAGGAAGCTAGTGTATCCTGTCGAGAGCTTAGGGCAAATGACCCCGGGAAGGCAGAGTTCCTTATCATGTGGCTTGGAAGCTACACTTGATTCGGTGCGGTAGAAAGGCAGATGCGGGTTAGGGAGAAAAGGGTGGGGGAGAGACTGAATGAGTCCTATATGTTTATTTCCATTATACGTATCTTGTCTCAAAAAAGACACCGTAATCAGTTAACACGTATTTATATCTGTAGGAGCGAGCCAGTTCTGTAAAAGGTAAGCTAGTAGGGCATTTAAGGTGTAGGTCGCGACCCTGTCCAAGAGGAAGGATGAGCCACAAGACTACCGCAGAGCACGCCATCCGACAGACACTGAAGAGTTTGCACTTGCAAGTTAGATGTTATTCTGAACTGCTTTCTCATAGACGTTGGATAGACCACTGAATATTCCAAGCAGCAAAAGGAGACCAGGTGTATGGAATCTGAAAAGGAGTTCCTTCTTCAGCACCACACAGGTGGATAGTACCATAGCCGCCTACCTGGGAAACGCAGGATCCAATCAGGGCATCCAATTGGGAAAGATGGGCATGTTTGTAACTTTGTACTCCACCTAGGTTTGACTTTTTACTTATAAATAACAAGCTATATATGTGTATATAAGTGATAGATTCATGATTTTGACATCTTGTGTTTATTGTAGCTATGATGCAAAAATCAAAACAAAACCTAAATGGACAATCAATCCATAAAGGATGGTTGATAAAAGACCCAACAACATTAACGAATGGATGAATAAGTTTTCACATATATATGTATATAGACTGCATATTTCTATAAACTGTTTAAAATATGTGTCATAGGTTACATTGGTTAACACTTGCTAAAACTTAATTACAAGAATGGATGAGTGATAAGCAGTAGAAGCATGAGGGTGGGATTTGAAACACAAGGATGGAATTTTTCTCTGTTTTACTTGTTACTGCATACTCAACATGCACAAAACAGTACCGGGCACATTTTATATGTTCCCCCAAATGTTGTGTGACTTGAATTTTTGTTGTGTTGTAACCATGGCCATATGTAAATTCTTCCACACCTAAAAGTACTTAGATTCATAATGACTCACCTAGGATGAGGGCAAAGACATACAAATCCAGTTGTAAACATTATATATGCATATATAATTTTATTATTTATCTTTAAGTTCAGGAACCACTTTATTTGTTCAAAAGAAACACCCCAGTGCAGACTAACTATAATCTTGGCAGTTGTCTGGATGAGGAAGGTGGGAAAGAGAAAGAAAAGCTATGTTGTTCCAGTTAAGTTGCTGTGGAGGTTGGCCACATGGTGGACAAGCAGCTATATAGATAGGAAATCTCACCAATGAAAGACTCAAAAGGTTTCTTCATCAGCTTTCCCAACCTTTCTTTGCATGTGGGTGCTTTACTCTAGCAGTCTCTGCCTACTGGAATTCTGGGAGGTGTAGTCTAGAGTCCATTCTTTACAGCCCCATTTTCCCCCTGAAGCAGTAACTCTAAACTCATGCAATATACTGGAATTGGGGACTCAATACAACCCATCTTCACCAAAAAAAGTAGAGATTCTGTCCCAAAACTGTTCTCCAGAAGGGATCTAGGTTAGGATGGCTAATTCACTGCTGAATTAGCCTTTAGCTGGGGGCTGCTCATTTAGGAAGAGATAAGAAACCCGAGATCTAATGTTCCTGGCCAAAGAAACAAGGACACTTCTGGAACTACTGATTTTGGAACTTTTTTTTCCAAGTAAGGTTAAATATTTTGTACCTTCCATTCTCATACCCAGCCCCCCCCCCCCCAGGTAACCCTAACTGCTATCTAGGGAATTGAGGCATCAATCTTTCTTTGGCTTCTTTAGAGCTGAGTGGGGTCATTGAGTGTGGCAGTTGAGATAGTCCTTCCATGGGACTTTCTAGAGGACAAGGAAAGTATTTAGATAGTTCCCCTTGTATAGCAGCCAAGTGTTGTGAGGAAGACAAGTCCTTAACTAGTGTCTGGAAAGAGCCACGAGAGGGAGAATAAAGCCAAGAGTTATTAGCATTGCAAGCTAGAGGCAGAGAACCAGGAGAAGCCAGAGTAAAGGACAATTGAAGATATTTCCTGCCCTTTGAGGTTTAGATGAGCTGTCTCAAGAGCTCTTTCATGTCAAACTACTCCACCATAAAAACTTTTTTACTCATCTTGACATTGTCATAATACTGAGTATTCTTCTTTTTAAGTGTTAAAATTAGTATGGGGTAAAATATGATCTTTTTTACATTTTGAATTATTCAGTGAGCATGAATTTATAAAGAATCATCTAATGCTTACCATGCATTGTAGCTGAAAAGGCAGAATGATCTGGGCTGGGCAGGAAAGAGGAAGGAAATGACTTGAGGAGGTTAAAAACTTGTGTATGGTGTTAACAGTTTATATGCGATGTCTGCATTATTTCTGAGAAAGTGTTGGATACTAGCCAATAAAAATGTGCACATGAACTTCTAATAACCTTGATTCTTAGTTCTATGTCAACCCTTTAGTTAAAAGTCGCATTTAATGATGCTAATTTGTGAACATTAAGTTTCTCTAAAATATGAAAGTACTATTTCATGTATTTAAGTAGGATACAAATTCCATAAAAATGATTGGCTATTGGGTGAAAATTTTTCTTGATTAACTAACAACAAATTGTAATTAAAAAATCCTGGGATATATTTTTGTGCATATACATACACAGTACTCACGAAACCATTGAGTGTTTCAGAGCTCTTAGTCTGAAACCATGACTTTCCCATTGCTAAAACTTAATGCAGCATGTGGTATTTTCCATGTTTTTCAGCTGCCCAAACCACTTTCTTTCTCTCTTTTGGTGTCCAATTACAATATTTAGTAAGTGTATTACAGTCAGGCAGTGGTGGCACATGCTGTTAATCCCAGCACTCAGGAGGCAGAGGCAGGTGGATCTCAGTGAGTCTGAGGTCAGCCTGGTCTACAAAGTGAGTTCCAGGACAGCCAGGGCTGTTATGCACAGAAACCCTATCTTGAAACAACAACAACAAGAAATGTATTACAGTATGACGTAAAATTTAGAACAGAGATTAGAAGAATTTTCCAAGTCTTAAACTGACATTTGAAAAGTAGTTCAGACATGAATAGAACCAATAACACAGTAAGAATAATGTGAAGGCAAAGAATGAGCCAATTGTTCAAGCACCTGAGTCTAAGAAAGCAAAAAAGGCTGAGTGTACAGGCGCTGCAATTCACTATGTTAAGTACTTGTATATTCATTTTTCTCTTCACAAGGATGCTTACTTAAGAATTCACAGTTAAGTAAAAATACATTCTTTGTATGAATCCATTCTATTGTCTACCCCATCACTATTTAAAATAGTTTTTACCTTTCGCTTTGTTTATTCTATGCATCTTTTACATCATGTTTCTTGATCCCGTTCATTTTTCCACTCCTTCACATCTGCCCTCCACCCTTTGCATGCCCCCCAAATAAAGCAAAATTTAAGAGAAAAAAGGGGGAGATTTAAAAATCACACAGTGAACCCTTTTGTCCAATCTTTACTTACAAGTGTGCGTTGCAAAAAGCCTTTAGTTTGGTTCAAGGCTTCTAGTTTCTACTACACTGTTGATGCTGGGCCCTCACTGGGACTCTTTTTTATATTCTGTTGTTGCCTTGTGTTGTAGAGATCCTGCAGCTTTGAATATGTGGGTCAGGTTTCTTTACATACTCCAGCAGGTGTATGTTGGGGCAGTCCAAGTCTTAACCCTAGTTCGGGTCCTGGCAGCTGTAGTATTGGTCTGCCAGCCAGTTCTCCCCTGTCCTCACCACTAGGGCGCGCTCTCCAGCATTGCCTGGGCTAATTTATCTCTTGCATTAATGAGCGAGGGGTGGAATCGGTTTCACTGCTTTCATGTTCACAGGGTCAGCTCTCTCACACTTATATCATCAGGGCCAGCTCTAACGTGTTGTCCAGGTGAGGCACAGGGGCCACTCTCTCCTGAGTGCTGCAGCAGCCGGTGAAGGGTAAGGACAGCACTCCTGCTCTTATGACCACAGGGCCAGCTCCTCTGGCTGTCTCGGGCATTGGCAGGCAGGAGGTGGGAAGGCATCTCTCCTCTGCCTACGCTACTGCATGTCTGATGAGCAATGGGGACACTTGCCCTCTGCTCACCACTGGGCAGCTCTGCTGTGCTTCCTAGGTGAGGGCCAGTAGTAGGGATGGTTCTCCCATGCTTTCAACTTCGCGGCTGGTTCACCCACACCTCTGCCAACAAGGTTGGCACTGTCGTGTTCCCCAGGCGAGGTGCAAGGCCTGCTCTCCCAAGTGTTGCTCTTGTGACCTCAGTGCCAGTTCTCATACCCGCCTCAGGCACTGATAGGCGTGGGTGGCGGGTGGTGGGTACAACTGTTCCCTGCCCATGCCATCAAAAGGCAGATGGGTGATGGGGACAACTCTCCCTTGTTTACTTCTTCGGGATTGGCTCACCCCTACCTGAACCAATGGAGCTGGCTCCCGTGTGCTGTCCAGGCAAATGTTGTAGCAGATGATGGTCAGAGACAGCTCTCCTGTTCTTATGACCACAGGGCCAGCTCTCCCAGCTGCCTCCAGTGTTGATGGGTGGTTAGGGAGAGGAGGACATCTCTCTCCTGCCCATGCCACCACAAGACAGATCAGTGATGGGGACAGGTTTCTCATACTCACAACTTCAAGGCTGGCTCATCCACACTTGTGCCAATAGGCTTGGAACTATTGTGCTGCTCTGGCGAGAGACGGTTTTCCCACAGTGGGCTGGGTCCTTCCACACCAATCATAAATCAATTGAGAGTTCCTCTTCCCAGAAGACCTAGTCTATGGAAAGTTGAAAAAAATATAAAAATTAACTAGCACAAGGAGGTACTTGAATAAAGTACCCTGAATGATTCAATAGATATCTTG